ACACCTAAAGGAGGCAGGTGAGGTGAGGCTGATCAGGTCATGGAGCTGCCTCTCCAGGGCCGACTGGGCAGCCAAGTGCTCTCAAGAGCTTTCCCAAGAGAGAAGGGCACTGCTGATCACAGGGTGAACATCTCCCCTCCAGCCATTGCCCCCCAGTCAATTGGGCTGGAGGGGTCCTGACCCATCTCCCAGCCCATCCTCCCCACCTGCTTCACTCCTGACGCACCATGAGCCCACAGCCAGTTAAATCTAGCCCTTGAGCCCCTTGTCCTTTCTCTTGTTGATGAAATAACTGGTTTTTTCCTCCCTCATTTGCTCCACCTTCTCATTTCTATCCTAAACCCAACGTCCTGTGCACCCAGAGAGCTCCCAAGAGCTCCACAACTCCCATCAGGACATTCCCAAATCATCTTGACAGCCTTTGCTGGGAAGCATTTATGTCCCTGCCCAGCTTGTGGCTGGAAAAATCAGAATTTGGATCCAAACCTTGATTTTTTTTTCCTTCCTGAAACAAAAGGGTGTAAAGCCCAAACAGTGCACCTTACATCCTCCTGTGGTCCTGCTTTCTGGCATCCCAATGGCTCTGTGTTCTACTCCAGGACATGTTTCCCTCAGTAGCAGAGGCTCTTACCTTGGACTTGCTCACTCGTGGCCTCTGTGATGAAGTTCACTGCTCACCCCAGCACGCTGCACATGGGGTTGTGCTGGGAATCAGGATTATAAGTAAGATGGAAAACTTGGCTGCACTGGCACAGCTGAGGGGGACGAGGTGCTGCAGGGAGACAGGAACTCCACGGGGTAATTTTGTCGCTGGGAAAGCACATCCCAAGCTGGTTCTGTTGGGTGGTTTAACCTTGTTTTCAGTGAATATCAGGCCACTTCTAACTGTGCCAACACAGGCATGAAGAGCACTGAGCCCGTGGGGTAGGTGTGGCACAACACCTGATTCCAGTTTCACCTTCATTCCCAATTACCATCCATTAATTAAAACATATTCGTTATACAGGCAAAACTCCCACCAGCATTGCCAAGTCCAGGGCTTGGGTCCTGCCAGTGCTTGCTCCCAGTGGGAACTGCCACAGCCCACAAGGGACTGTGCCACAGGCAGAACAATGGGGACATATTTTCCCCAATGCAGGAATGTTGAGAAGGGTAAAAATAACAATTCCTGGAAGAGCTGGGTGTGCAGGAGGGCTGCCCCATGGCTGCTGTGCTCCATGGTGCAGTTCTGGGCAGCCCAGGGACACGTCCCCTGTGCTGTGCACAGACCCAGGGCACGGCATCACCCCCGGGGGCTCAGGGGCTTCCCGGGGACACCGGGGTGGGAGAGCCCCATAAAACATCCTCCACCTCGCCAGCCAGGGGGTGGCTTTCTAATTACCCAGGTGGGTTTCTATTGTAAGGAGGGCAGCAATGCAGGATTTGACGCCAGGGCTCTGAATGTGTCACCTGCCCAGGGCAATTTAGCAAGTGGCCTGTGCTTTATGTTCCTGCTGTCCACAGCCACGGGGCTCGCTGCCCTGGCAAGCCAGGACCCCACCCCTGTGGGACCTGCTGCCCTGATAAACTGATTTATCTCATGTCTGCCTTCCCTTAAAACCCACACTGTGATGTGAAGAGGGTTCTGTGGGGCTGTGGGGTTGTATATACTACTGCTGTTTCTTTACTCAGGACAGATACCAAAATGCTTTAAGATTTTGATCATCCCATGAAAAGCCCTGGCTGTTCAGTCACATAGCAAGAAAACAAGAAACAAAGCATCAGGATTTTGTCAGTGAAGCCAAGGGGCTCCAGCTGGCATTCAGAACACTGCTTTTCCAAACAGCCTGTCCCTCAGCAGCACGTGGGGCCAACGCAGGCTCTGGTGGTGTCTCCATGCTGACAGCTCACTGTGAGGTCCAAGGCTGCCCAGAAAGACTGACAGTGCATTTTCTGCATAACCAGGTAAATTCAACAGAATTTTCCTCTCAGCCTTTTTTTTCCCCATCCAAAACCAAACCAAAAGCTAGTTTCCAGGCAGCGGGGAAGCCAAAGAGAAACCATTTTCAGCAAAAAAACTACCTTTACCATCAACACTACCTTCAGCATCAAAACTACCCTCAGCATCATCTCTCAGATGGGACCTATGGCTCAGGTGACCCAGAGTGTGACCAGGGGGCTGTTCCCATGGGTGATAGGGGAGCATCCAGCCCTGCAGCCCCCCAGAGCCTGGCTGGTGACTTACAGAACAAAGCACCAAAATCAGCTCCTGATCAGCTCTGCCACTGAGCTCAAAAAGACCACCCACCTCTGTGCCTCAGTTTACCCAACTGCAAATAGAGATGTGTTTAATCTCCTGTACAGCAAAGACGTTGCACAAACCACTCTGTAAGTGCAAAATTCAGTAACACAGCAAGACCAAAGTCTGCTTTTGCCTAAGGTGGGAAAGTCTAGCAGCAATCCCACTGGGATGACTGCAGTCCTTGCTGGATGACCTGCAGAAGTGCTGCCTCCTGCTCGTCAGGGCTGAGCTGTGAGCGTGGAAAAAACCTGCAGGGAAGCGGGAAGGCTTTTCCCAGCACGCTGCTTTGTTTGCTGACAACCAGTGCAAGTGACAACGTTATGAGTGACTTTTGAGATCCCTGTGACTTTAATTGGAAAGGAAATTTTTAACAGCCAGAGAGCTGTGGGGTCCTGCCAGCGGCTGCTCACGCCCAGGGACGCTGTTATTCTTCTGGTATGTGATGGGAATATCATGTGTGAACTGACAGAGCAGACACACCAACGTTTTTTTAGCTGCACAAGCTCTCTCACACAAGAAAAAAAACCAAAACCCATCGATGCGCCCTCAGGGACAGCCAGGCACAAACCCCAAAATTACCTGTGTGCATATAGAAAATGCACAGCAGATTTCCAAGCCCTATGCATGGGTTTTAATCAATGAGCTTCCCTGATACATGGGAAACACTTCATTCCCAGTAATTGTCCTTTGACAGCTCTAACAAGTAGGATCTGTTCGGGATGGTAATGATTAAAATGCTGACTCACAGAGGGGTTTCCATGCTGGGACTGCACCAGCTTTGTGCTCACTTGGAAGGTATTTTGCATCCCTGCTTTTCAACCAATCTGCAATTTTAATCCTCTGGTTGCAAACGGGTTGTTTGTGGCTTTGCCCAGCTGACTCCAGGTTTCCCTGCTGCAGGGTCTGGAGGGAGAGGGCTCTCCCCTGGCTCGAGGATGGGCAGCAGGACAGGGAGAGTCCCTTTGCTTTCTGCAGCCAGGAGCAGTGAGGAGCTGGTCTGCCTGCTCAGGGTAGGAGGGAGAGGAGTGACAGGTCCCAGCAGAGGCACCTAAGCCCATAGACCTGCACTTCAGACACCAGCACAGCAAGGTGTCAAACCCCAGAGCAGGTTGCTTGGCTCTGCTCTGCTGCATTTCATGGAGAGACAGCAAAGTACTTCACAAAGGTGTTTGAGGTGCAGCCTCCTGCCTGCCCATAGTGCCACTGGCTGCTGCTGCTCAGCTGCCTGTGAGGATGGGGTTCATCCCTGTGTGGCCCCTTCTGCTCATGGGGCAGCCCCACAGGTGCCACATGCAGTGCAGTCCCATTCCCTTGAACCTCACTTTTGCAGCCCCTTCACCAGTCCCCCTGCACCATCAGCAATTACCACAGGGAGATGGGTGTGCCCAGAGGTCAGGCAGGGGGCTGAGAGGAGGAGGAGGAGGAGGAGGAGGAAGGCAGCACCTCTGTCCTGCCACAGGGCCGTGGCTGGGCAGAGGCTGTGCCTCTGTGCCATGGGGCAGTGCCAGGCAGAGCCGGGGGACTGTTAGTACTGCTGGTACAGCACAGCACTGCTGTGGGGCCAGGCACCCACACTGCCCCATGGAGCAGTCAGGAGCCCTGCCCAGGGTGAGCCAGCCCCCAGTGGGACCATCCAGCCACAGGAAAACAGACTCGGCAGTTTCCATGAGCACCATCTCCCGTTTCTCCATGTGCAGCATCACAGCACCTCACAGCCCTTAATGACACTGGCCAGAGCTATTAAAAGGCTTTTTTGGGTTTCCTCTGCTGAGGATTTTCCTTTCCTGAGCACAGCTGATGGCTCAGCAGTGACAGAGGCCCCTCGCTCTGCTCAGGCTAGGGGCAGCTCCAGCCCCGCCTGCGGAGCGGCAGCAGCGGCCGTGCCTTTGCTGCAGCAGCTTTTACCGTAAGGAAATTGCCAACCCCAGAAAACTGTTCCCCTAATTACAGCGTTGGAGCAGGGAGAAAACCACAAAAATGATTCACACAGTGTTCCCAAGCTGCAGCCGCGTAAATTAGAGAGATCTCCAAGCGCTCCCGAGCCGCGCTCGCTGTTATCGGGATGGAAATGCAGGAACTTTCATCATAAAGAGGCGAGAAGGGAAAAAAAACCTGCCGTTAAACGCATCTCTGCAAGCCAAGGAGACCTGGGAGGTCTATCCCCTATAGATCTTTACAGAAGGGTTGTTAAAACTCCTCGGGGAGTTCTCGTAGGAGGGAGCAGGCAGATAGCAGGGAAACTATAGAAATGCATCAGCTAGTTATTTCGGAGGGACATGGGGACAGAGCCTCTGCTGCCAGCAGAGGATGAAAAGGAGAAGGCAAGAGGACTTGGGGCGAGCAGAAAGGGATGGGTGGTGGCAGGGAAGAGAGTTAAAAGTGTCCCATTGTTAGGGAAGTTTGCTCTCCTTCAGACCATCCCGCTCCCAGGGACACCGCGCCGCCTTTTGAAGTGCGACCTTAGGCGGTTCCTTGTCACCCATTGGAGCGGGAGCTTTTTCACCACATTAAGTCATTGGGTAGCAAATGAATGGGGGGTTTTGACTATTCACAACTTCACCTTATAAATATCAGGGTTGGAGGTTCCTGCAGCTTTCCTCCATCCCCATAGCTCACCTTGGGAAGGAGCGGAGGGAGGCGGCCCTGCTTGCTCGGAGACCTGTGGTGCGGAGAGCTACGGATCAGCCAAAGGGATCCAACCCTGCTCCTTGTGGCAGCCATGAAGAGAAGCACCTTCCTCATCCTCTCCCTCACAGGGTTCTACAGTGCCATTCTCCACACAGCAGCATGGTAGGGTCCAACTCAGTGGAAAGGGCATTTTCTAGGGATGCTCCTCAGCCTGTGGTAAGCTGTGTGATTCATCTTCTTTTCTTTGTTTCAGGTCTGTGAATAACTTCCTGATGACAGGACCTAAGGTAATTAACACATGGACTGTCAGGAATTTAAGTGGGCTGATTTTGTTTTGCAAATGGGAAATAGTGCTTTTCCAAGGAACCAGGCTTCCCAGGGCACATCGGCTCCAAGTCCTGACAAGTATAAGAGGGAAAGGACCCGCAACCTGTTTATGTCTGTTTTCACTGATAAATGGTAAAACGTGATGGATTTTAACCCTGCTGTTTCCCGTGCCAGGCTTACCTGACGTACTCCAGCAGTGTGGCAGCCGGGGCACACAGTGGGATGGAGGAGTGCAAGTTCCAGTTCGGGTGGGAGCGCTGGAACTGCCCCGAGAGCGCCCTGCAGCTCTCCACACACAACCGGCTCCGCAGCGGTGAGTGCACCTCCACCTGCCCCACAGCACCCCTGCCCCAGCTGGGGTGTGCTCTGGAGAGAGCTGGTGCTGCCAGTTAAATTGACTGATGGAGGAGGGCTTTGCCGTCCCAAAAATCACAGTTGTTTTTCCTCTGTCTGTATTAGCTGGTGTCATAATTAGCACTAAAATTTTCCTAGGGACCCCAGGCTCTCTCTGGATCCCTATCCATGCTAGGCTAGAGCTCAGTCCTCCCTGCAATGCTGCTCCACGGGTTTGCTTCTGTCACTTTGAGGAGTACAGCATCCCAGGGAGTGCAGTGTCACAGACACCCAAGCTTCCAGTGGGGAGAAGCACAGGAGAGACGAAGGGAGAAGCCAGAGATGTGCACTAAGAAACTGTTTTCATAAGAAAGTTGTAGATATTTTTAAATATTATCTACTTCAACGGGTAGGAATCTCCTCTTCCCCAGAGCAACATCTGTATTTGGATCTGTTCAGAAAGCCAAAATGAACTAGATCAGGAGTGTGGGAGCAGACAGCTCTTAGCACAGATTCCAAGGATCCATGATGATTTTCCCCAGGAGGCAAGATCAAAGCACAACATACCTCCAGGCAGGGAAGGACAGAGATGAACCGAGAGCCAGGTGAAGGGCCAACTCACCTTGGCCAGAGCACTGCCTTAAGATCCTACCCTTGCCAAGAGGTTCCATCCTCTGCATGGACACCTGCATAATAGTCTGTGAAACTGTTGTAACCTGCAATGCTGAAGCCTGAAAAGATCCAGTCATGAGCATTTAATTTCTGTAGCACTTTACCTTTTGCACAAACTTGGAGGGGGGTATTTTCTCCTTGCCCCTTTGCAGCACAGGAGATCTTCATCCCTGACAATCCGGGGCTGATGTCTGTGCTTGCATGTGACAGCTTTTTTCCCCCTCTCCCCCAGCGACCCGGGAAACATCCTTTGTACACGCCATCAGCTCTGCTGGTGTCATGTACACCCTCACCAGGAACTGCAGCCTGGGGGACTTCGAGAGCTGCGGCTGTGACGACTCCAGGAACGGCCGTGTGGGTGAGCTGCCATCCCAGATGGACTGACACCCTCTCTCCATCCCCACACGGGTTTCAGGGCAGAATTTGGCAGTTCTGTGCTCAGACTGTGTCTGCCTTGCAGGTGGCCGAGGCTGGGTCTGGGGAGGATGCAGCGACAACGTGGAGTTTGGGGAGAAGGTTTCCAAGCTCTTTGTGGATGCCTTGGAAACAGGACACGACACTCGTGCGCTGATCAACCTGCACAACAATGAAGTCGGGAGACTTGTAAGTCAGACTCATAATAATACTGCTAAATAATAATAATGTCTATAATGAAAACAAAATCTGAGTGAGTGGTAGGCTGCTCAGGTTCCTGTTTCCAGTCCCCTGTGACAATCTAGGCCCTGTAGTGTTTGGATGGGGGAAAAAAAACACAGCCAGAACGTGGCCTTAAGCCTGAACACAGGGAACCACCATCAGAGTTGTTCCCACTTCCAGCTCCTCCTGCAGCAGTGCAATGCAGTTAACTGCTGGCACACACCACTTAGTCAGAAATGCATGGGGTTTGTACTCACCTAGGCTTGTCTGGTCTGCAAAACAAAGCCAGACCCACCTTCCTTACTTTCTTCCAATATGCATTTCCAAGCTCTTTGGCCGGGAAGCCAGGTGTGAGCTGGCCCCCCACACAAGCTGTCTGCCAGACTGCCCCGTTCCTGCCTGGGCTGTGGAAGCTCTCAGCATCTTGCCAAACCTTCTTGTCTGCAAAAACAAGGACAGCAACACTTAACATACCTATCTCATAGGGTGTGTCCAGGCTTAATCTCACATAGATACCAGTGATTGGGACCTTATAAATACCAGAGGGAGATAGGCAGATAATATCTGTGAAGTGCTTGGCCTGGAGGAGATGCAGAGAGGTTGGGTACGATTATTCCAAAGCAGTTTCACACATTTTGAATGAAACCTCTGAGAGGGATGCTGGGTTGATGCTTTGATGAGCCGGGTTTTTCCTCGCCTGGATTCTCCCACAAGGGCTGGGGACAATAGCTTGTGCCCACTTGTTATCTCTGGCACAGATGCTTTGCAGAAGCTGAAATAAGAACATCAGCTCATGTCTTGGAAGGACATGAAGTCATGCCGAGCATGAGCCACTTTTGACCCGTTGCCCCCAAATTATAAGCGCCTGATTTTGAGGTTTAAACAATGATGCTCTGCTGCTCCTAACTTCTCCACCTCTCCCACCGAGGCGGTGAAAGACACGATGAAACGAGCCTGCAAGTGCCACGGGGTGTCGGGCAGCTGCAGCATCCAGACCTGCTGGCTCCAGCTCGCCGAGTTCCGCGAGATCGGGAACTACCTGAAGATAAAATACGACCAAGCCCACAAGCTGGAGATGGACAAGCGGCGGGTGAGGGCCGGCAACAGCGCCGACAGCCGCGGCGCCACGGCACAGACCTTCCACCACGTCCACGCCACGGAGCTCGTCTTCCTGGAGGACTCCCCCGACTACTGCACGAGGAACGCCAGCCTGGGCCACCACGGCACCGAGGGCCGCGAGTGCCTGCAGACCGGCAAGAACCTCTCCCAGTGGGAGAAGAGGAGCTGCCGGCGGCTCTGCACCGAGTGCGGGCTCCGGGTGGAGGAGCGGAGGACGGAGGTGGTGTCCAGCTGCAACTGCAAGTTCCACTGGTGCTGCACCGTGCGCTGCGAGCAGTGCCGGACGCTGGTGGCCAAGCACTTCTGCACCCGCCGCGACAGCGCCGCCGCCCCCAACCACATCAGGCAGAGGAACAGAGGCCACAAGAGATAAGGGGCGGCCACGGCACCCCAGGGGGACGCTTTGGGGCCCTCACGCTGGGGAAGGAGCGTCCTGGGCTCTGCAGGGCTCAGCGGGCACCGTGCCAGGGGATGGGGTCTCCTGTGGATGGATGCAGTGAGACCGGGAAGCACGAGGTGCAGGCGCTGAGGGGCCACGGTCCTTCCTGCTTCCATGTTTTTTCCTCAGTATTTACCAGTAGCTTCTTTCTTGTTGGGAGTCACTTTATCTGTGAGACAGAGAGAAGAGTTTCACGTTTTAGGTGGGCCCAACCCCTTGTGCCCCCGCCAGCAGGTCTGCCAGTGCCAGCGGTGGGGCACCAGCCCTGCAGCCAGAGAGTTGGGAATGGGAGCTGGGGCCAAAAGTGTGTCCAGCTGGGTGATCCCATCCCAGCAACCCCAGGTCCCAAAGCTGGGACAGCCCCGAGTCCCGGCCCTTCACGCACAGAGGCTGCTCAGCAGCATTTCTAGAGGAAAACTTATGCACTTTCTGACGTGAGAGGAGGTTTGGCAGTGCCGTGGTGTGCGTTGCCACAACTGCAGCCTTTTGAGGGTTTTGATAAGTTTACAGCCAGTGTTTACAGATTTCCCTCCCCCCTCCTTCTTTTTTCCCCCCTCCTCCTGTTTGAATTTTGTATTTTGGCACAAGAAGCCCTACCCCCAATAGAGAGTAGCTTCGTGTATTTGTACTGGATGACATTAAGCAGTTTACAGTTCCTATACTTTTTTTTTTTTTAATTAGCAGCTAAGAATTCTGAATTCTTTATGCCTGGATGTTGTTTATTAATAAGTTGTATTATTACTTAGCACAATCTGTTTTCACTATATATTTTGAAGGTATCCCTTAAGAGTTAGATTTTGGACTGTATTTTGCAATAAACACCACAATGAAAAGAACTGGCTTTTTCCTTTCTGGCTTCTGAGCAGTATGACTTTGGGTGCAAAATTGTCCCTTTCTGTGTGAAACCCAGTACTTCCATGAATTTCTCATCATTAATCCAAAAGCCACCAAACCCAGGGAGAAGGTTGCCCTCCTAAATCTGGACAAGTTGGCTCCAGCCTCCAGTCCCTGGAGGGTTGGCTTTAGTACCTATCACCACAATCTCACCCTTCCCAAGTGCTGAGTATGCAGGCCCGGCCCGGCTAAAGCTGATTTTGAAGCTCCCAAAGCCTCTTTAATTTGCCTCAACCCGACATCCCCCAGACAATGCGAGGCTGCCTGGCTTTGATGTGGAAAGCATCAACATCGGCACTCACTGCAAATTTCTTGGAGGCACGAGAGGAACCCTTTGAACTGGGGCAGGAGAGAAAACTTGGGGACAGTTGTGAATGTGTCTGCTGGTTCCCTGCTGCTCCGGGTGCCAATAGCCCTGGAAAAGGGCAGGGAGGGCAGGAGGGGACAGCACTGGCTGCTGCTGTCCCAGGGTAGGTCCCTCTCCTGAGGGAGCCAGAGCTGTGCCACCACCCACACCCAGGATGCAGGGCTGAGGATGCTCCACCAGGTTTGGTCTCCAGACAGGGGGAGGAGGAGGAGAGACAAGTGAAAAAACCACCCTGCAGCTCTGCCAGCACATTGCGCCCACACCACAAATGCTTTGATGCTATTTTATCCAGGTCTCCCTATGGCTCCTTGTGGAAACACAGCCTGGACATGCATGAGAGCCAGATCACGGAGCTCAAGGTGCAAAATGCACATTTGGGAAGCACAGCTGACTTCCATGCATTTATTTTATGCAAAGAGGGTCTTACTAAAGCTGGAAGGGCAATGCCATTGGCTAGGGGGGCTTTTTTGCTGCCTTCAGAGTAGCTGCTTCTAAAATTTCCATAACTAACAGGCCACCCCACCAAAGCAACAAACCCAAGGTTTTTGCAGTGTTGCCACAACAGCAGTTGCAACCCAACAAAATTTAGGCTGAGCTGGAAATGATAAAGACAAATAAAATACCCCTTTCCTGCATCTTGAGCATTGACTGACTTTGCACAAAAAAAACCCCAGACTCTCCTTTTGTAATACCCATTGTATTTGCTTGTTCTGTGCTCCACAGCCCCAGGAGCTGTAGGCACAGGATGCCACCAAAATCCCACAAAATGAGGTTACACAGAGCACAGGATGGTTGCTGCTGGTGTGCACTCAGAGGAAGGAAACTCTTTCACCAGGATAACTCCCAAGTCCACATGAAAACCTTCTTGCTGTATACAGACTGTTGGGTCAATAAACCACACAGGTAAATCCCAGGAGATAAGGGCTCCCAGGAGCAGGAATGGTCAGGGCATGCTGTGTGTCATCTCACCAGGTTTGCAGGTGCTCACAGCACCAGACCAGACCTCTGTCCCACACAGGCTCCATCCCAGGGAAACAGGGCTGCAGAGAGGAGTAGAGATACCACTACCAAGACCAATCCTTTTCCCAGTGAGCCCTCCCATTCCCACTGACCCACAGCCAGGGCCTTGCCAAGCCAGCATTCCTATCCACCATGTTGCATTCAAATGCTGGATACAAACTGTTCTTTGAATTTGTCTAATTGCTTTTTAAAATCCATTTAAATTTCTGGCACCCGGGCTCTCTAAGGCAACGAGGAGTATATCCTACACAAAAGCCAGAGACCAAACGCAAATTGAAGCAAACCCAAGAGAAAGTTACATACCATCCCATGACAACAATTTCCATTCTCTTTTTATACCTTGCAGAGACAACACTGAGACCAAACAAATACAAAAATCAACTCTTTGGCTTAGAGTGGCACCTTGCCAGAGATATTACAGTGCTGGAGAAGCTGAAGCTCCCTCATCCTCCCCCTTGTTGCTTGGATACAAGAGTCATCAATTCTCACTACATTCAGTACAAAACAATGGAAATTCAGGATCATCTTAATCCATCATGGCACTGTCAGGGAACCCCGACACCCCTGCCCACTGCTGTGGTTTCTGTAATAACCACACAGAACTGCCATGGGCACGGGGGGCACAGGGTAACAAACCCTGAGGCTGCCACGGGACCCCATCCATCAGGCTGAGCTCATCACTGCAGCTGGGATTTTACCTGGGCAGCAAACTCCTGCAGAGCAGTTCTCCAAACAAACACGAGCACACACAGCAGAGCAGAGACCTGTCACCGGCTGCCTTGTAAAGGCTCCTTCTCCAACTGCAGCCAAGGAGCATTTGCAGGGACTGGTGATGTCTTCAAACCTGCCCGTGTTTGCTCATGAGCACCCAAAGTCAATTCTAATTTGGGACACTGATCCCAACCACCTGCAACTCACTGCACACCTGGAGGAAGGGAGGGGTTGGCTCTATAAAACCTTGAGGGAGAACCTGACTGCTGCCCCATAGTAACATAACAGTAATGTGACAATTCTAATCACAATGAAAAGGTAGAAATCTTAATCTGGGTCGGGTGCTGTATGAACTCCAACCAGACTCCTGTTGCCTGTCCCCCAGGAGCTGCCAGCACTGCTTCTCCCCTCTGAGACCAGACTCCACACAGTGCTGGGGTATTGGGTGTGCCCTGGAGCAGGGACACCCCAAAGGGGCACTTCAGGCAGGGCTGTGGAGCTGCTTGGACAGACCTGGAGCAGCACTTGCATGTCTGAACAGCCACTGCCATGGACAGAGCAGCCCATCCCAGCACCCTCACCAGGAACAGCAACCACCAGTTTTCTTTTTGTTTTTCCTTTGCAGCATGTGGAAATGCCCTCACAGCCTAATTCCCCTTCAGGCAGGAGCATGGGCACAACTCCACACGGGGCCTTGGCTGGGGTCACCTCCATCTCTGCGTGGAGGGAGGTGGGCTCAGGTGTGCCCAGCCTGCTGTTGACAGGGAGGGACACATCCTTGGGGCAGCCCCAGCACACGGAGCTGGGCTGGTGCTGTGTTAGTCTGGGCAGACCCACCGTGCCACTGGTACAGGCTGGGGATGTCACCCAGCTCAGAAACTGGATCTGTGCTCTTACTTTTGCTCCCTCTCCTAGAAGAGAGAGCAAGGATGGCTCTGACAGGGAATTCACACCATCACCACCCCCGGGTGCCTCCACAGCCTCTCCCACCAGGCTGGCAGGGACAGGGATTTCTGCCCAGAGGTTGAGGTACTTGCCCCAGTCCCCCTCTCCTCAACAGGCCCTGTCACTGCATGACAACCACCTGCAAACACAGAATCAAATTTATTTAATTCACAAAGTGCAGGTTCTGGAGATCATCTTTGTAAAGCAGTTTGGAGGTGAATAGATTTCAGCCCAGCACTCCCACCCCAGCTGGGGGCTGCTCCCTCCCCTGGAGCCCCATCATATCCCACCAGCATCCCTGCTTTCCCCCAGCCTGCTTCCCTTCAGCTGTTAAACTCCCTCCCTGCTGGATTACCTTTAATTTATGCTGCCAGTGCCCTTTCATGGATTATAATTCTGTATGAGATGTTTGTGCTGTATCCTCCCCCCATATTAAAGTGTCAGGAGTACATCCCCAGGCCATCCATCTTCAGCACTTCCGTATGGGCTTGGCAATTCTCTGACATGAATATTATGGCTCTCCATGCAGAGCCTCCATCACTCAAGCTGACAAGTGTTAGAATCTCCTCTCTTGAACAGGGTAAGTGACCTTTTCATATGCAGCGTAGATTCCCGGTCACGCTGCATCTGGTGCAGTGAAACCAGTGAGTGCCAGCAATTCCCTAAAAGTCTTAAAAAACAAGTCACAGGTCCTTTTCGACTTGCAAAACCAACCCTTAGCATGACAAAGTTAAAGGGCCTTAAGCAGCCCCTGGTTAGCTGCTGCTAGTGCCAGTCCCAGAGAGGGGGATGAAAAAGCATCTGTGTGATGCCTTCTGTGGGATTATTGACAGGGATTTTCAGGGAAAGATGGAGGGATTTGGGTGCCTGGCTTGCTGGAGTGTATAGCAAAGACTTTTGTCACCAGTTAGTGACTTCAGTGGCTTGGAAAGCTCAACTCCAGTCTTAAACAACATATTTTTAAGTGAGGTGCTTCAAGTTAGATCCCTAAACCCCACTAGCCTGAATTTCAAAGCTGCTAAACGCCTGGGC